CAAATATCATAATTGAATTGAGATGGATTACAGTATAAATTATATACCAAACATGATGAAGTATGGCTCATATAAACAAGCGGGATATCAGATAAAAACAAAAAAGAGGTACATTCTGCTGTGAAGAGTAATGATGCACACAGTTCACTGCATGCAGTCACTCTTTGATGTTCTGAAGGTATCGCTGCATCACAGATATTTATGAGCCGACTCAGTTAACATTCAGCCAACAGTGCACTGGCTGACACCTGCTAATACACACAGACATCATCTGAAATAGCCTCCAGGTTAACATATCAAACTGATTAAAAGAGGTACTTTCACTCAACTCATTGGGTTTCCTGAGCAGGTGTTGTCCACTGTAGGTTAACTTGCATGTGATTGAATGGAGAGAAATACAACACCGTGTTATAATGAGTTAAAGAGGCTAAAATTAGCATGGCATCATCACTCACATCTCCTGTTACCTTTTTCCTAAAGTCACGCTGCAGACGGGGGCCATTGTCATGATTACAGCAGCACAAAGACTCAGGTGTAACGTTACTATTGAACTGTGGTCCTCAGGACGAATTGACTCCATGGATTTTTAATGTCTCGGGGCTTTCCATTGATGATAGATGGATATGCACTGGGTAATGTGATTGTGTATGTGGAATAGAAAAGGAGCCTCAGTGCGCTGGCCTAATTTCTTAGAAGCTTTCCTTGCTTTAGTCATCTGTGGATTTTAATAATGCCTGGCAGTGCCATTACAAATGTGGTTCTTTATATCACATTGAGAGGAATTAATGAGTGAGAGAGATTTGTTTAGTACTTTTTAGTCGAGTATAAACCCTTATAATCCCACTGTAGAAACTGAAAATAATAACATACATTCATTTAAAACGGTTTAATTCAAACTGATTTTAATGGGCAGTAAAACAAGCCGGCATGAGCCAAACGTTCATATCGTAATTCTTCAGTTAATATGGTTATGGAACTTGTTAATAATATGGCGCCCATTTTCTAGCAGATTTGGGGCAAAATGATAATTTATTTAAAGTTGTGTTAGTGGTCACATGATCAATCCAAGGCCAAAACTCAGCTGGGTGCTGTTTCTGTGTCAAGAGATCAGTAGCTTATATATATGAAATAAGATAATCTACCAATTTCATTTAATTACGTTTCATTATAGACATTACTTTGTTTTTGTTTATTAATCTTTGATATATTTCATGTTTATGATAATTTGTGGGGGGTATTTCTCTTCTCCATAACAACATGTTACACTTAATAAATATATTTGATCATTATTTGATCAGGTGAGTTTTTTTGAGAGAAAAATGCAGATTATTAAAAATAGTTATTATTATAATTGTATACACTTTGATAGAGGCTAGGTAATTTCGGAGAAGCCAGGTCGAGTGCGCTAGAATTTGAAAATACACAACCGGAGAAAATCTGCCACTTCCTTACAGAGCCCCTCCCTCCTCCAACACACACGAACGTGCACATGACCAATGAGGGCACGAGATAAGTTTGTGCACAGATGGAAGGCTGACAGGCAGGTAGGCCATCCAGTTATTTTAGCCGGGCCGGCTCAGATGATTGGTCGTGCTTTTTACAGCGCCACGGCTTCCATGACATTTGTTTATGGATTTTTTGTCAAAGCATTTAAGATATTCATTGCTATCGGGATGTTAAGAGCATTCGATGGAATATAACAAAAAGAGTATCTCGAGCCGGTTTCTCAAACGTACTTACCCCACCTTTAATTTTAAAAACTGATTAATGAAAATAATTCATTTGTACTTTTTATGTTTTTTAATTTTGAGTCCCTGTTGACCATGAATGAATTAAAGTTATCTCTGCAGCTCTCTGTGGGTTGACCTGTTGCTCTGTGGTGGTCAAATAGTCATTATTACTGTTAAGCGGTAACTAACATTCATATTTATTATATGTCGACATATGGTTAGAATGATGTAGGAATATGCTATTTGAATGGCTTTTGTATTGCTCTGCTGTGGTTGAAACTGTAGCCCCAGCTCTGTGTTTTGAGTTTCCAAACTCATTTGTGGCTCCCTGCTGAGTCCGCCTCATTTAGTAGAATGTGGAACACCTGTGCTGAGAAAATGTTAGACTTTACCACTTATCCAGTGGAAACAAAGCAGCATGTTTCTGCCTGAAATAGTGTATCCAGTTTTTGTGGATATTTCCTATAATAAGGCCATTTAAGTGCCTTTCATTTGTTAACCAGGCTTCTTCGCTCACCACAACACATTAACAGCGGTAAGAAAAGTTTTATGTCTGAGCTTTGCAAACAAAACAAAGAATAGCCCTATAGTGAGTGATCTTATTTCACTCAGCCACTCAGCAAAACGCCCCAATAAACAAACCTGGGAGCAGTGATTGCTAACATGGAAAAAACTGCTAGAGAATGTAAACTGAGTCTAATTTGAAAAACCCCTGCGAGAGATTCACGACCCACAAACGAGGGCAACTTTGAGATTTACTTAACAGGATTTGAGTTGTTACCGGTGTGCCTTAAGTTAATGTTAAACTGTTCAACATGGCTTACAGTGTTTTCCTCAGGGTACTTATGTGTCTATAGATGACTATGGACACATGTTTGAGAGCCTCATTCATGCCCATTCATTCGTTTCATGTTTCAAGTTCACTCACCCTCGAGGTTAAACCATGCAAATGTATCTTATTGATTTCCTTTGTTCAATCTTATCTAATCACCAAGACATGCTAAGATAAGGAGAAGCAGATGAGACTCCTATACTATAAACATGTGTATTATGCAGCACCTTGCAACCACTCAGTTTTCATCACTTTTGTCCTATTTTTGTTATATTCAATGGCGATTAATCAACTTGAAGCTCCATTAATGCTAACTCACATCAATATCTGCATCAAAACGTTGCAGTCGCTGCTGGCTGTTGACGAGCAAACACTTGCAATTGCCAGATAAGAGCTCTAGTGGTGCCATTGATTAACCAGGGACTTCATTATAGTGGGAACCATTAACAATGCAACCTCATTGATTCGGCCAATGAAATGGCTGGGAGAGAAATCAGGAAAGATAGCACTAAGAGCTGCAGTTTATATGAGATTCCCTGCAGGATCCCAGCACTGCTGCAACGGCATTTAAAACAATGAGCCTCTGTGTAATGCACCTTTTACTGCGAACTGATGCACTACTTAAAATATCAGAGTGTCACAGAACATTGTCTCAGCTATTTTAGTCTTAATACATTATGTTCTGCTGCTTCTTTCAATCGAGGGCAGGGTGGAGAAAAAAAAAATCTCTGCTGGTGCAATTTAGAGGACTACAATTATGATCTAGTTCCCAAACGTTCTGTAGAAGGACTTTAATAGAGTGAATATTGATGTTTTCCCTTAAAGCTGTTTTAAGATGACCCTGCGTGTCCTCCTGAGTCCTACATTTTATTGTAGTTTATTGTTTTTATTGTCTTTTTGTTTTATTTTATTTCATTTTATATTCTATCTTCTCTTTTTATTACTTTATTGATATTTTATTTATCTTTACTGTTTTCATGTTTGTGAATCTGTCAAGCCCACTGAGAAAAAGTTGTTTTGTGATATTTGGCTATATAAATCAACTTTGATTTTATTGTAGAAGTCACTATATATTTCTGAGCCTGGATAGCACTACATCAGACATTTATAACAGCAGAAGGAAAACATGTCTGCTTGGTAGACAGGAAAACACTTTACTGGCTGGGAATCAATGCGCCTGTATGCTCTACACTTCATTTCAGGAATAAAAAAAACGCATTGCGTAATAGTGTACTTGAAATAGCTGGTGTCAGAAGAAGGCCTATGTCGCTGTTGCATGCTCTGGGATCTGAGTGCTGGATAAATGCAGGCCAAAGGCTGGAAGACAGTGAGGAAACAGCGCCGCGGTGTGGATAGAGAGGGTACTTTCCAACGCATTAATAATTCCAGACAGCAGATAAAATACAGCTGACACATTCAGACTGAAAGGACAATGAGTTCTCCACACATTTACATCTAAACCGTGAAGTTAGTTTAACTTGGTGCACACGTCATAGCTATAATTAATAATTCAATGTTTTATAATGGTGTCCGAATAGCTTTGAAATCCCACGATGTTTCTGGTAATAAATATTAATCAACATAATTATATTAAAGGCTTTGATCGTGCAAATGTGTTAACTCGTGTGTAATATATCCTGCTGTCTGCACAAGGTCACTTTAAGATGATTTATGTCTGCATAATGGACCGCCTCGTGAATTCTGTCTCGTGACGCCCCGCTTTCTAAGTCGACCAATTTTGTCTTTTCATGTTCACCTAAAAAATATATATATAAAAAACATTATTTTTCGGCTTTAACGCAAACCTGCGCGTCTGAACCATAAAGCACAGCGAGTTCCGCTCAAAGCTAAGCCGGCACCTCACGGGTCCCACATTGCCTTTTGAGGAATCATTTGATAGCCCTATTAACTTTCATGTAACATTGTTTCTTGAAGGCATCCACAGCAAGCGCCTCAGTGTCATTACTGTGAGAAATGTGCTTTCATAGTGAACGTCTTTCACAGAAGTCCTGGAAGATACATGATCTTTAAAAAGCCCCAAAACACAGAATATTAACACAAATGTAGCTTTAAATAACAAATAATTGTCAATAAATGATATTTTATGTGTTAAAATACGATTACTATTAACTTACGATTAAGAAATTACATATTTTTATCATTATACGTTAATATTGTGTCGAAAAACATGCGTACGCTTAATAAAACTTCTCCAAAAATTACTAATAGAGATCAACTTCTCAAAAATAAATACGTATACTTACCCAATGGTTAAAGCAGTGAATCTAACCCAAAACATATTTTTGTACACGTCTTTATCGACTAATAGACGATGTTTGAAACTCTACAGAAATATGTCCCTTGCAGGACCTTCGACGATCCATTCAAGCCAGCAAGTTTGGAGAGCGTGTTGAGTTTAATCAATTCATAACGTCGAGATGGAGCCGAACTCACTGAAGGTAACGTTTGTTATCAACCTATTTATTTTATTTTCGCATTGCGCTTATCGCCACCGACTCTAAACTGTTCTCAGGTGCTTAATGCACAAAAGTTTGACACATTATATTTAGTATGACCACATATGTTGAACATCTAAAAATAGTTACATGTTGCTAATTGTGTGCTGATATCCTGTTGTGATATTTGCTAACCATGCGTAATTCCGCAGGGATGTTTGTGATGTTTTTGTTCAATTAGCTTCGATTTGTTTACCAAATGAGTTGATAAGCCATGCATTAATTTCTCCATTTGTGTTTTTCCTCTACAGTGGGTGGGCTCGTCTTGCGGTTTACATGGACCATATATATTCTATAAAGCCTTTAAATTTCACCAGGACCGTAAACCGAGGATTCTGTCTCTCGGAGACTTTTTCTTCGTCAGATGTAAACCGGAGGATCCTATTTGCATAGCGGAGCTTCAGCTGCTCTGGGAAGAAAGAACAAGCAAGCAACTTTTATCAAGCTCCAAACTTTATTTTTTACCCGAGGATACTCCCCAGGGACGCACAGCCACCCATGGAGAGGTAGGAATATTAATCGCTTGATGAATAATTACGATATTGGCTGTTTTATGGTGTTTATTCTCGAGCAATTTTTTTATTAACCCACATCTTTACTGCATTAAGAGTTGGCAGTGAATGTTTAGTCTACGGTGGCAGACATGCATTAACGCATTCATCAATACTGACATTGATGTGACGTTAAATGATTGACCTACAGCGGTAAATGTTCCCTGGTTTTACTTGTTTGTCTATTGTGGTGTTAAATGCTGATTGTGCACTTGTCCAGCTGCGCTCAATAAGACTGCTGCTGCGCTCTATGGGGTTAATTGTGGTATAAAGGGGAAAATCCGCAAGAATCCTGCGCTTAGGCTCTATCATTTCATTTCTTGGTAAAGCGTGTCAAATACTGACATAGGGGCGGAAATTGAGAAACACTAATGAATGCATAGGGTCAACCTGACTTAGATCTTTCGCTACGATAGTTATTAGATATTTAGTAATGCAGCCTGATGTTGAAAGAGGCAGATCGAGTCATAAAGCGTGGCACAGACACGTTTTAACTACTCTCCACGCTTTGCATAATTTTCCATATGGACATTTCCATCGCCCAACAATGTGATATTGTCAGCTCACATTTGAGGCAGCACTTAAAACGCCTCTGTGTTACATTACGCTGTTGTTGGCACAGGAAAGCAATAGTTATGATTGACTGTGGCCATATGTGGCGCTTGTGATCCGGTTACATCGCTGCACTGAATGGCATTACTCTGATATCGAGAGTTTTTCTCAGTAAAACGAACGCTGTGTTGTTGATCACTGATATTCCTCTCCTAGCGACAACAGCACTTTAATTACTCCTCTGTGCTTTTGATCACTTGCGGCTGGATGGAAATGATTCTCTGATGCTGTTATATTGTTTATAGGGAAGGACAAAGCCGTGTGTGTACTCGACTCTTCCGCTGATGGTTTACTTACATTCTTTCCTCTTGAGTAATAGAGTGGCTATCACATTTCCCTTTCATGAGAAAAGGTGGCTATTTATGGTCTGCCGCTTAGACAAGCTATCATCTTTGTAGCAGAATTATTCTATAAACTGGTATCATCTCCTGGAGCCCTCTCGCTTTAGCCTTTAACACGCTGCAATTATTTAGTAATTACTTTGAGTGCATGCATCGCCGATCTTGAGGCCACACTTGCGCAACGACATGTCAGCTCCGCCCCTTACCCAAATACTTATTTGCATTGCAAAGTGCTTACACTCCTGTCCTTTGGGTGTATCTGGAAAATATTATATTAATTACCTGAAGGGCTGCAATGCCAATGCAAATCTCAGAGAATCAAGGAAACAGGGAATCATTCAGGAGGGAAAGCATCTGCTGTAGTTTGTGTTTGTGATAACAGAGTACAAGCGGAATAAAAGCTATATCCTTGAATGAATTATGCACCAACTTGCACCACAGCACACAATCCTGCAAACACCAGAGACAGATGCACTTGCTTTGAAGTTGCTGTGTGCTTATAGAATAAGTCAGACTTTGAAATAATATAATTTAAGGATGATGTGTTTAAGTGCAGTGCAGGTGTCTGCAGTCGACCTCAATTAAAGGGCTTGTCAAACCCTCTGCTCTCAGGGAATCAAACTACTTACTGTATATTACACAGTGGAAATTGCCCTGACAACTTCAAGTCAGTTTATGACCTTCACTGAGCCCATTCACGTTCTCGCTGACTTTGCCCCATAACACTAATCTGCCCTGTGTGAGTCAGCTAGGAGTGCTTACAGATGCAACCTTTAATCCAAAAAACAAACAGGAAGAGCAAGCCAGCCTCGCAAAGAGCCGTGTTATTAAAACTCATCGGCTGTTAAAATTCTGCACTGGAATGATGCATGCACAAAATGATTATTTGTTTTTCAAACGTCAACAGAGGGGTTCATTTTTTAGCGACACTGGGAAGTAGAGTTTATAAACCTCACATTAGTCATTTTTACTTCGGGACTCTGGAAGCAAATGAAGGCAGATTAATGGCCCTGGAGTTACTTTGTGAATCTATAATTGACAGGCTGGAAATCAGGAGTTCAAATTTAGCTTAGTGACTCACAAAGATATGACCATGATAACATACAGCTTTCAGGAAGTGTGCTATTTTCACAAGGTTTGAGTGCTTACAGAGAGGTAAAAGCCCCAGCTTGGTGCCTTTCAGGCTTATGGCATTTATTCTTACATTCACTCTTGAATATTTTCACACAACATAAAGCAGAAGCGGCGTTCGACATTTGACATGTAAACAACCGCTGCTGTGTTTCTCCTTTTCTCTGTGAGATCACGCCTCATACGGTATTATCATAAGCCTGAAGCACAATATCCTCAACAACTTTTTTTTCTCTCAAGACATCAGAACAGCCATTTATTGAACTAGCTCACTGGAATTGGATTACTGATTCACTTGTGTTCTAAGCGCCGAGGTATGATGTAATCTGCTGGTTATTTCTCAGGTATTTGTTTGCTCTCAGCCTCCCCTGTGCTGTGTTGGCTGTGTTTTGCTGTGCAGTGACAAGAGGAACCAACCCATGACCTACGGTGCTTGTTTCTCTTCTATCACAGGGTTGGAGGTCAATTCCTTTTTAAACGCAGCCAGCTTTAAATCCAGTCAGCTTTGGCTGGAAATAGAAATAATGATTCATTGAATAAACCTAGCTCTCAGGGACTGTTTGCTAAATAGTTGATGAACAAATCTAGAGGAAAATGTATCAATCTATTTATTCTGAGTTAATAATTAAGTCCATATGTGGAGGAAGCTCTATTTTTCATTGCATCTCAGCCTGACAGGCAGTGTTTACCCCCACCAGTTGAGCCCTGCTTGCTCTTTAAACAGGCTTTGTGTTGAGTTGCTCACCCATTATGACAAACCCTCTATTGGGGCCTCTGCTCTATTTGTCTGCCTGCAAACTGCCACTGACTAAACAGTCGCATGTGCTTTAAAACTCATTGAATGACACATTATTTCATCTCGCTCCAAACTGCCGGTCTTTCCTGCTGGTACCGCTCGCCGCTTATACTTTCTGTTTCTGGACTCGTCATTTCAGGAGAGAGCTATTGAAGATAACAGCTCACCGCACACAACACCCACTTATTGTATACTCTGCTTCAGGCGGTTAATTGCTTATGCTTATCTTATACTATATATCCCACTTTAGTGCAACTACAGCAAGGCGCTCTTAATGGGAATTCACAACCGCGGAGAATATTTCTGGATCATGTTATATTAATGTGCTATTATCATCACCTCTGATTTCATCTGACCTCTCTTCTCCTCTATTCCGTCCCTCTAGCTGACAAGGCTTTGGCACACTGACACACACACACACACACACACACACACACACACACACACACACACACACACACACACACACACACACACACACACTGACAGGCTGGAGACTGCAGCAGTAGGCCAGTATTGATTGCTGTGGAAAACACTTTGGCATGCGTCCAGAGCCATTTCTTCAGTGCATGGCAGAAGTCCATGCATGTGTTTCAGTGCTTGGAAAGCCAGCTTGTAGGGAAATTAGATTGTATTCATTTGCTGCTTCTTTGATTTTTCCTAAGGGAAAAACCCTGAATGGGTAATTCAGGCATCTGGGATGCTAGTTGAGTTAAGTGTAAGTGGCTTATATGTGACCAGCTTTTTGATGGATAAGGTCGTTCTGCTGAATGACTCGAGTGTAAATGAGATATTAGGCTTTTTATTTTTTTACAGTGATCTTTTAAGAACATCCATACTGCTGCCTTGTCTTGGCCAGTCTGTGCATTATGCCAAATATCCCCATCCACACAACAATGGCAAGAATTTAAAGGGGGGGGGGGCTCTATGAGGGCGCATGTGCCTCCTCCTGCTGCAGAACAAGTCATTAACTCTGAACACTGCCCTCCAGTGAATTCCTCACCGTTGCAGAAATAGCATGTAAATTATTACCAGCTTTATAGGATAGTGTAATTTAAAACCTTTTAAAACTGAATACCCCAGACTTCAAAGGCAATATAAAAAAAATAAAAAAATCACGAACATTTCCCATTGGTTGTCATTCTTCACAGTCTTCTGATGCTTCTCAGCAACAATGTTTAGTGTCTTTGCAGCCTAAGTAATGATATGTTACAGCAGCGGTCCGTATGTCAACACACAAGAGAGTTTTGGTGCTCTTTAGCTGCAGTTTTTCCACTTTGTCATTGACTAACCACTTGAACAGGCAAACATTTGCCTTGATGCATGACTCCAGTGCCCCCAGCTACAGTGGATCGTTATTATAACCTTTGAGGAGAGTACAGCCACAGATGAGAAGCTCTTGCATAATACTCCAGCCAATATTTCTCATTCCTAGCTGTGGTTTCTTAGATGGAGCATACGGAATCATAATGCAACGTTGGCTTGTTTGTGCATTTGTTAAAATACCAAGCGGATGTGATTCAAGAGAGCTGACGCTGCTTTTTTTTGTGGTGTTCCCTTACATGATGGATGCCTCAACAGCCTTTTGAAAACTCCTGTTATCTTGCAATCTTTCTCTGTCATTATAACTGCGCAAGAATTCTAAGCTGTATCACGACAGGTCATGTAAGAGCAATCTCTTAATGGAAGCGGTGAATTAAAGATGAGTCCAGCACCCCTGCAGATATTAGAGCAACTTGTATGCAAATGAACAAACTGCATGCATTAAGTGTGGGAACATTATGTACAATAACTCACCTTTCTTTAAATGTTCTACCTTGAACTCTTTCCAGTCTTGAGGCAAAAACAGATTGTAATTCAATTGTCCCCGTCCTACTCTCCTGAGCTCTCGTTTAATTCCTAGATAAGTTTGTTTTGGGACACTGAAGCCAAGGTCAGTCATGGGGAGGGGAGATAGATAATGAACTCATATTGTGTTTCATTCCCTCGTTCTCTCTCCCTCCTTCTTTCTCGCTCTCTGTCTCCTCATTGTCCATGTCACCATGTCCATTACTCAATTACTAATCTCCTTTGGC